GTTTTGTCTTACTGTATGGACCTGACGGAGGAGGTCATCTACGGTACATCGAGGTACCTCTACCAGATTCCCCAGGTCTCAAATGTGAAGACACGTGGGGGGCGCCGTCTGCTGATCACGGCACGTCTTGTCCAGTTGGTGTCTGTCTACAGAAGGATGCTATTGTGTCTTTGAGACCCGCGCCTCGTATTTCAAACTAGGGCTGCCAGTTCTCCCTACTACCTATGTTAAGGTCTTAGGTCTACATTATTATTATCTACAGTTGCCTCAATAATCCTAATATTAGTGTACTAACAGTAAACTACCTACTTCTTCCCTGAAGGGTAAATCTATAAGTTAATAAGTGCTTACCATCCACGCCAACTCGGGAGAGAAGGCTTTTGTTTGGGTGGGTTTAAGGGTCACCCAGCTCAGCCGTTCCATTAAGGCCTTGCTGGGATTCTTGGTATGCCGTATCTGTCCTGTGGAACTTTAGGGACCATATAAATTTCCACAATGTTCGTCCATCAGTATAAAATGGGTACCTGGGTGTTAGTCGACCGATGTGGGTTGCATCCTGAGAAAAAACTGACTTAATTTGCCTGAAATGCTCAGCATAACAAACGGCTTTCTATATAGCAGTATATGTCATTGATGTCAGCTAGGCCTGTATACCATATACATGTACTTGTAGTAAATATATTATTCTTCAGGATGAGTGTACTTCAGTGGTCAGTGAAGGTAAAGGTACAACCACCCTTGTTAATAGAGGTAAGTACATTCTTGTGGTTGGCGACTCACAGGTAAGATTTATGGACCATGCTTTCTGTAATAGGAATGAGAAGGTGAGACTGAGTGTGTGTTTTCCTGGAGCTGGTGTTGGTGACACAGTCAGCAGGTTGGATATCATGTCAGATAATGGGAACAAGCCTATTATCTGTCTCAGTGCTGGTGGAAATATGGGGAAGGGTAGGAGATAAGTACATATCTATAGTTGATATGTACTAGATAAGTACATATCAACTATAGATTTAATTAGGTCTAAGGGAGGAGTCCCAATCATATGTAGCATCTTGCCTAGAAGGGGAGTGGGCAATGAATGGATGTTTGCATGTGTTCCTTGATGCTGGTGAGAGGCTCTTGATCTAGGGAATTGGATCTCTTCTCCACTTCCTTGAATTAAGCCTGAATGCCTTCCATCCCCTTCCTCCCACAAGCTCTGTATAATCCTTATGGGATCAGCCTTTCCCCATGATAATTAATGGGGGTACTGATCCTGTATGTGATGGGTTGAGGGAGGAATTCCAGGTTTGATATCTTGTGTCCATAATTATGCGCGGGTTTGGGTTTAATAGGCAGAAAGTATCAGTTTTTCCATGTAGTGAGGTTGAGAATCTTTCTGGTTTCTTTGATAAAGGAGATGGTGCCCTTAGCCGAAGTATGGATGAGTTGGTCATTTAGTAGTATTTTGGCACAATAGTCATTACTGTTAAGGATAACTACACCTCCACCTTAATTGTGGTTATTCTATGTTGAAGTTCTTGGCCAAACCTTTAAGGGTGTCAACATACGTCTTGCGTAGCAAAAGTATGGAGGGAAGGCCTGGTCAGTTTAGCGCTCTGATAATAATGGAGGGGGGGGATACCTCTGGTATGTACCCTTTATAAGCTCAGTTTTAGAATCTGGCTGATGTCCATGTGTTGATCAGGTTTCTGAATGCTGAGGGAGAAGTCCTTATCATAAGATTAGTTTTCTGCGGGCATCCAGAAACCTGACCAACACATGGATATAATCAACTGGAAATACAGACACACACACTGACTTGAATTAATGAAGGAGTGCTTAAAGAATCATCACTGTCACCCTATAGAAAAACCCCATCCCTTTACACCTCTACCCAAGAGATACATTGTAGGTTTGGTCAAGAACTACAACATCAGAGTTGCATGACCCTTGTGGGTTTAGCGCTTAGTTTTGACTATAATAATTCAACATCAGAAACACCACCACTGATATAGGTGGTGTATTTATCTTTAGTGATTACTGAACCAAAATACAAAACACATCTTAATAACCAAACCAGCTATGAAATCATAGTACCTCATATATTGACTAAGGACACCCCTTCCTTTCTTAAAGTTGCCAGGAAAATATTCAACCTATTACCTACAGTATATTGCATATGGTTTATACAATGAAAATATTTCCTTGAACCTGCCCTCACACCCCCCACATCACACCTAAAATATGCAAAGCGAGTTCTCATGAGAACTCGCATGTGCATACAGTGAAACCCCGGATTTCGGCCATAATCTGTTCCAGAGGGTCGGCCTAAATCCAAAAAGGCCGATAACCAAAGTAATATTTCTCTTAAGAATTAATGTAAATACAATTAATCAATTCCAGACACCCAAAAATATTAACAAAAAATACATGTTTTAAAGATTAACTATAGTTTTACATACAGAAAATGATGAGAAATAAATATAAAGCAGAAATTTTCATGATAAATGAATATTACATACCTTTAGTGAAGACTCTTGTTGGCATATTGAAGAAGGCAAGGAGGGGAGAGGGAGTTGGGGGTTATTATTTAGAAGGTGAATTCCCCTCCATAAGGACTTCAGGTATCAAGTCCCTATCTGGGGTTACTTCCCTTCTTTATCTTTTACTGGCACTAGGACCAGCTGGAGAGTCACTGTACCCCTGTCGCACAAAAGAAACTGTCCAGAGAGGTCTGTTTCTGGCGTCTCTAAGATTTGCCTGAAGTGGGACAAGGTTTTGTCACTGAACATGTTGCTGATATGGCTTGTTTGAGCTTGGTCAGGGTGATATTTCTCCACAAAACTTTGCACCTCCCTCCACTTTGCACAAATTTCCTTAATCGCTGAAGAAGGCACCTTCCCTCTCTCTTCCTCCTCTGAACCAATTTCCTCAACTGTGATCTGTTGCTGTTGCAGATGAAGGTCTTGCAGATCTTCAGTGGTTAGCTCTTCCCTGTGGTCCTCTAACTCGTTCACATCCTCGCCACTCGCCTCCAACCCCATGGGCTTCCCCAAAGACACAATAGATTTCACAACAGGCAGAGGGTCGACAGGGTCAAGATCAGCCTTAAATCCTTCAAAATCCTTGTCAAGGACACATTCTAGCCACAATTTTCTCGAAGCAGGGTTCAATGGAAGTCACTCCCTGCCAAGAGTTACCTATAAGGCTTATGCAATGGAGGATATTGAAGTGATTCCTCCGGAACTCTCTTAGGGTCAACTCAGTGTCCGAGATCACTTCAAAGCACCTTTGAAACATTACTTTCGTGTAGTATTTTTGAAGTTAGAAATGACCTGCTGGTCCATGGGCTGGATGAGAGGAGTAGTGTTAGGAGGCAAGAACTTCACTGTTATAAAACTTAACTCCATAGACAATTGGTCTACCAAGTTTGGAGGATGAGCAGGAGCATTGTCCAGTACCAGGAGGCACTTGAGTAGCAATTTATTTTCCTGGAAGTATTTTTTCACTCAGGCCAAACACTTCATGGACCCAGTCAATGAAAATTTGCCTTGTGAACCATGCCTTATTATTAGCTTTCCATATTACACACGGTTTACTCTTGATGACATTGTTTTTCTTAAACACACTGGGATTTTCAGAGTGATACACCAGTAAAGGCTTCACTTTGAAATCCCCACTAGTGTTACCACAGAATGAAAGATTAAGCCTATTCTTCATAGGCTTGTGTCCTGGCAGTGCCTTTTCCTCCTGCGTGATGTAGGTCCTCTTTGGCATTTTCTTCCAAAAGAGGCCTGTTTCGTCACAATTGAACATTTGGGGAACGAACCCTTCAGCCTCTACATACTCCTTGAATTCATGCACGAATTCTTCAGCCGCACATTTGTCTGAACTTGCAGCCTTGCCATGCCTTACAACACTGTGTATGCCACTACACTTCCTAAATCTGTCAAACTAGCCTTTGTTGGCCTTAAATTCACTAACAGCAGCACTCGTTCCATGCATTTTATTCATGAGATCTGCATGTAACTGCCTTGCCTTTTTATGAATGATCGACTCCACAACACTATCTCCTGCTAACTGTTTATTGTTGATCCACACCAACAATAACTTCTCCACATTTCGATTATTTGTGATCTTTGTTTCGTTAGCATATTTACCATTTCGCAACATTAGCTTCCTTGATTTCTACTTTCTTTGCCAGGATGGAAGTGATGGTTGATTTGCCATATATCCTGGCAAGCTGGAGCACACGTACAGCACTTTCGTACTTTGCTACAATTTCTTGAATTCTATTGTGTTTCTCACTTTCTTTACCAAAGGGCTGGCACTAAGAACTTTCTTTGGGCCCCATGGTGGCTTATTTTGCAGTCACACTCAATAGGCAACTGCAAAAAACAATGGATCATAACAAAATGTTAGGATGAATGCACAATGTGTTGCTCATACACTGAGACACACAGCCAGACTGACTCACGCACGAGGCGGAGTGGTGGGCAGATGCGTCCAATACGGCCAACTTCCGAGTTGCCGGCCGAAATCCAGGGTAGAATTTTGGCCAAAAAAGTGGCTGAAATCCGACTTGGCTGTTATCCGGGGGCCCACTGTATTTATGCTTAGATCTCAGCTCTGTATAGCCCTTGTGGCTTAGCACTTCTTTTTGATTATAATAATAATAATATGCTTAGATCTCACGAATGCACTTGTGACTCCTCTAGGGTGCTTGTTTGGCATATAAGGCTGTATATCTGTTTTTGCATTCTTAATAAAGCCCAGGTTGGCAGTTTCATTTGAAGTGGTATCTTTCTTCTACTTGTTGGCTTATGACATTGTTAATCCATTGGCCGCTGTATAGCCCTTGTGGCTTAGCGCTTCTTTTTTGATTATAATAATAATAATAATCCATTGGCCACCATGTCTCCACAAATACTTTACATACTTAGAGGGCTCTTGATTAACTGCAACACTGTTAGCACCTGTCTTATACAAAGGTTAATCGTATAATGAAATGCTTCAAATTTACCTGAAACATTTATTTATAAAATATTGATCAAATCAAGTTCACACTTTAATTTCATTTACATACTTTATCTGTAAAATAAAATCCCTGTAATATTAACATTTAATGCTTAAACTATTAAATATTTTAAAGTAAAACAATGAAATACCTCTATGAATTTGAGAGAAACCTAATTTCCAAAGACTTCATCATATGACTCCCTATTTCATACTCAAGTTATTTTACACTAATGGGTATTTAAAAGTAAATCTGTAGCACAATTTCTGCACAAGGCACATATACAATTACATTCTCTATAAGAAATGACCACTTTCCATAAAGGAATTGGAAAAAAATTAGAGATACAAAGGAATGTACAATTTTAATGTGGTCCTTAGTAATTATAGCTTTGCTTATATTCAGATGCATCAGATCTGAGACCTTACAAACTAAGCTGACAAATATTGACATTTTATACATTAAAAAAATAGAAAAGTTTTCTGTTATACAAAAGATCAAACACTTGACATTAAAATAAATTTATATTGGTTTTACTAAACCAAAATAATAGTGTTTCAAGACAGTGTAACTTATTCAGCCAGGCATCTTTAGGAAGTTACTTTGCTTCTTGGGTATCTATATCTTAAACTACACCAGTTAGAATTTCTACATTAATTTACTTAAAAACATAAATCACAATTTAACACAGCAAAAATGATTTAGAAGGCACATGCAGTATATAATGGCAATACTCTAGAGTGAACATGGACCATACAATGCCTTCACACCTTTCAATGCTGCTGCTTTCTGGCATAGCCTGAATACAAAATACAGTGGTACCCCGAGTTACGAACTTAATTCGTTCCAGAAAGCTGTTGGAGTGCCGTTACCGAACAAATTTGTTCCCATAAGGAATAATGTAAATTAGATTAGTCCGTTTCAGACCCCCAAAAATACACTTACATAATTGTTTGAGATGGGAGCTGTTCGAAACTTGAGGTACCACTGTATTTGTAAACAGTGTGCTATTCAAAATGCAGACAAGTGTTTGCATCAATATTTAATTACCGGGCTCAAAACTTAATTCAAATATTGTTTTCATAAATAGATTACAAAAAAAAAGTGTACTGATAATGCATTATGAATCTGCCAATTTTTCATGGTGGCATTAGCAGTAAACCTTTTCCCTTATTATAATCATAACTAAGTGCTAAATCCATAAGGGTCAAACCTCTTCCAAAAGACATTTATCTGCATTTTTTTTCTTTTTTGGCATGAAACCTCTATTTTTAACAATTGCCCCCAGTTAAAGTTAATGAAATTTTGCATAACAAACAACACACTTGTACATGGCATTACATTCACGTAATGGAACACATCTGCAAAAATTTACAGCGCATTTTTGTATATTCTATTGCTCATTTTTAAAGTAAACTGTAGTTAAACCTATGCTTGGTCAAGAACAGCAACACACTCTTTGAGGCCCAGCACTTCAAGGCACTCACGCAGTTTTTCCAAGGTCACAGTCTGTGGAAGAGAACATGTATAAAACACCTTTAAAAGCTCAACAAATCAGAATAATGTAATAAACTATGTAAAAGCAATCATAGTACAGTATTAAATCTGTGCCTCATGAAAATTAACTTCTAAATTTGTACATTTGAGGCAACTTTAAGAAATAAACCCAATATTACTCTTCTGGATCTAGTATAGTGGAACCTCAGATGTCAATTACATTACTTGTCGAACAAATCAGTTTTTTGAACAAGGAATTCAAAAGAAAAATGTCCTAGTTTTTATACGTTCTCTCGGTTGTCAACCTACAACACAAACGGCTCAGGTCATGTGCTCACAGAATGCGCTTGTTTATCATTCTGAAAATCCACGAGTTGTATAGACAATGTTATGAAAAACAAATTCGCTGTAATGTGGAGAGCCAACACAAATGCTTGGTTAACAAGACAATTTTTTATTGAGTGGGTTTATGAGGTCTTTGCTCCCACTGTCAAGAAGTACCTCATTAAAAAACAATTGCCACTCAGGGCCCTTTTACTTATGGATAATGCTCCTGCTCACCCTCTAAGTTTTGAAAACAAGCTGTTGGAGGAGTTCAGTTTTATAATTGTGAAGTTCTTGCCTCCTAACACCACTCCTCATCCAGCCCATGGACCAGCAGGTCATTTCTAACTTCAAGAAACTCTACGCCAAAGTACTTTTTGAAAGGTGCTTGGGAATAATTTCAGAAACAAATTTAACCCTCAGGGAGTTCTGAAGGACCATTTCAATATCCTCACCTTATAGACAAAGCATGGGGAATTGTATCTTCCTGGACCAAGCAGTCAGCATGGAAGAAATTGTGGCCTGACTTTGTGGCAGATGAGCCTGAGCTGGTAGAGGATATTGTGTCCCTGGGAAAGACCTTGGGCCTAGAGGTGACTGAAGATGATGTGGAGGAGCACAGAACTGAACTCGCTACAGAGCTTATAGACCTTCAGAAGGAGCAGTAACAGATTGCAGTGGAGGAACTGTCATCAGAGGAAGAGGAGAGAAGAAATGATGTGTCCACTGCACTTGTCATGGAAATGTGTGCTAAATGGTGTGAAGTGCAGGAGTTTGCTGAAAAATACCATCCAGACAAAGCAGCGGCCATCCGTCTCTACAGTGTAATGTTTCAATTTAGATGTGTTAAAATGGAGCCTGAAACAAACCTCATCAGACAAGTTTTTAGTGAGACAGAGCCAGTGAGCCAGAACAAGGTGTTAGCAGTGAAAAAGAGACAAAGAGAAACACCAGGACAGTTGCTTGACATATTAACCCTTTCAGGGTTGGTGCCATACTAGTACGGCTTGCACGCCAAAGTTGGTGCCGTACTAGCACGCATGGTATAAACCTTGGTAATAAATACCGACAAGTTGGTTTAGAAAGACACGTAAGCAAACACTATAACATATTTATTAGAAAATGTTTCGGTCCTGGGACCTTGATCACTTCAGAAGTGATCAAGGTCCCAGGACCGAATCGTTTTCTAATAAATATGTTATAGTGTTTGCTTACGTGTCTTTCTAAACCAACTAGCACGCATAAATTCTAGCGGCTTCAAATTAAGCGGGAAACAGCTGGTAGGCCTAGATGTGAGAGAATGGGTCTGCATGGTCGGTGTGTGCAGTAGAAAAAAATTCTGGGACCCAGTGGCGCTTTGTGGGAATGCCATTTTAGTAGACCTTGTTCACCATGCCTCGTGGTAAGAAGCTCCTCACTCCTCGGCGAATTGGGACACTTTTGTTCCCCAGCGACAGTTCTAATACAGATGGAAGTGCCAGTGAAGATGAGTTTCAAGGTTTTGATGAGGTTCTGACTGAAACTAATGACCATAATACCGGTAATAGTGAGGAAAACCCAGACGACCCTCAGCCTTCCACCTCTGGTGCTGGGCCGTCTTGTTCAAGTTCAGTTGTACCAGAATCAAAGAGGAAACTCCTATTTTCCCAAATCCCGGACTCAGATGTGAGCATTGGTGATGATAGTGTTAGTGAATATGAACTACAAGCTCTTGAAAACAGTTCCAGTAGTGATAGTGAAGTGGAATATTCTCCAGTGAAGCGTCAGTATATACAACGGTATATGTGCTCTGGCAGTGTGCCATATGCTATTCCAAGGGGAAGGAGTACATCTCGGAGTACATCCTGTGGCTGTACAACAGGAACAGACAGTGAAAATGAAGATGATAGTGTTGCAACTGGGATGGAAAATGTGCATGGTAGTGGTGGTGCCGGCCGTGAGGCACCAGCAGTGGGCCGTGCTGCCACCCATACCGCTGCCTCAGCTGATCTAAAACAAAGGCCACCATTCCCCACCACTACAACCACCTGTCAATATCCAATACCTACCAGCAGACCGCACCTGGGATTGGCAGGAAGCTGCCAATTTTGTTCCCAATCCCCATCACTTTGACGAAAGTCAGTGGAATACGGCCATCTTGTACAATTGGGAACAATGCCAGTGAACTGGAATGTTTCGAGTTATTTTTTGACGAACCCCTGATGGAAATTGTCAGGGAAAGCAACAGATACTACGACTACACCATAGCAAACACAATACTTTCACCAAACTCACGCCTACACCAGTGGAAGGAGACAATTGTGGCTGAGATGTATCTTTTGTTTACCACAATAATGCTTATGCCACATGTGTATAAGCACAGTGTGAAATCATACTGGTCAACAGACCACCTGATTGCAACCCCAGGTTTCAGTGATATAATAGGAGTGAATCGATTTGTGCTACTATTATGTATGCTTCACTTTTCAGACAAAACCAGGCCTGACAGAAACGACAGGTTATATAAGATTAGGAATGTGTTTGCGTATCTGAAACAGAAATACAGTATGTATTTTTATCCCTTCAGGAAGCTTGTTATCGATGAGTCTTTGATTCTGTTCAAAGGAAGACTGGTGGTCTGATTTCTTTCATTTTTGGTGTACATTAACAAGTACCTTTCCATCATACACTGCCCAAGTTTCAATGAGATAGCCCAACGAACAACTGAGAGAAAATAAATAGTTATAATAACTTCATTTACTACAAGTACATGTACATGGTATACAGGCCTAGCTGACATCAATGACATACTACTATATAAAAAGCCCCTTGTTATGCTAAGCATTTCAGGCAAATTAGGTCAGTGTCCCAGGATAAGACCCATGCCAGTCCACTAACACCCAGGTACCCATTTACTGATGTGTGAACAAGGACAACAGGTGTAAAGAAACAAGTCCAATGTTTCTACCCTGGCTGGGAATTGAATATTTACCAAAAATCATATATGGCTAGCCCAAGTCAGCTACTAGATATAAGCCACTTTGACTTTTTTGGGTTATCCTAGGTTCTCTGCACATATGCTGACGTGTGTGATAATCTATGTAGAGAAAATAGCTTTTTTGTTTCAGTTTTGCTGTATAGTCCTTGTGGCTTAGCGCTTCTTTTTGATTATAATAATAATGTTTCAGTTTTATGGTGCAGTAGTCCCCTCAAGGAAGGTTCCTTGATGTTGGTGAGGGGCTCTTGATTTAGGGAATTAGATCTGTGCTCCAGTTCCCCGAATTAAGCCTGAATGCCTTCCACATCCCCCCCCCAGGCGCTGTATAATCCTCCGGGTTTAGCGCTTCCCCCTTGATTATAATAATAATAATAATATGGTGCAGTACAAGTGTTTATCACAGTTAGCCCTGTGCTATACTCTGTTTTCTCTAATAAAGTGGACCCTCAACCAACGGCGGCATCGACTGACGCCAAAATCGACTAACGGCTCTCTTTGGCATCAAAATATTGGCTCTACCAACGCCAAAACACTCGTCTAAAGGCTTTCATCCCGAAGGTGTGCATGCGCCCTGAGCGGGCCCAGCCACTCAAAGACTCCATGTACTAGCCAGTGTGCCATTGTTTACAAGCCGTTGCGGTCGATTCCATGGGTACATGCAATATATTTTGTATTATTCCATTGTTTTTAGTGCTTGTAACTGCTAAATAAGTCACCATGGGCCCAAAGAAAATTTCTAGTGCCAGCCCTGTGATAAAGAAGGAAAGAAACACAATAAAATTCAAGAAAAAACTCATAGCAAAGTACCAAAGTGGAGGAAGAGGGAAGAATGTGCCTTCTGCAGTGATTCTACGATATGTATGATACTAAAGTAGCAGGTATTGATTAAGGCCAGCCAGCGAAAAAGTGTAGAATTAACAGTGTAGCAAGTAAGTTAAGCGAGTAAGCGATAGAAAAACGACAGAAAATTAACTCTCCAATGTTGTTGGATGTGTGTATATCCGCCGAACATACGCCGGCCTGCTATCTTCCACTACTCTAAACCTCTGCCAGGATCTCCTCCATCAAACTAATATCTCCAAGGTAAGTGTAAATATGAAAGTGTAAGCATAAAAGTAAATATATTAAGTGTAAATATAAAAGGACCCCAATGGAAATACGGAAGTCACTGACTTTTGGGGCTATCCTAGGTACTTTACACATATGCTGCTATGTATGATAATCTATGTAACTGTATTTGTGTATACCTGAAGAAACTTATTTATATATTATATACATGTACATTGTGCGATGGTGGTGCTGGCAGAAGCCTCCACCGCCACCAACACAACTTCTCTCAGTGGTGGCCCTTAACCCTTCCAGGGTCCAAACTGTAGATCTACGCCATGAGCTCAGCTCACTCTGATAAGCTGTGAGCAGTAAATTTGGGCCTAGATATGAGAGAATACATATATGTGGTATGTGTGCACCACATAAAACAAATCCTGCAGCACACAGTGCATAATGAGAGAAAAAAACTGAGACCATAATTTTCGATTAAAACAGCAACTTTGCAGTGTTTTTTCGTATGTTTTTTATAGTTGTGCTTGCAATTTCTTGGTCTCATTTGATAGAATTGCAGATATATTACAGAAATAGAGATGATTTTGATTGGTTTTAGTACTGGAAATGGCTTGAAACTGAGTTCAGAATAGCAGAAATGTTAAATTTT